CACGTTTTCCAAGTTGTTTTTGGTTCTAAAACTGGTTGGGGCCATAGCGAGCTGGGCCTTAAGGTCGGCCCTAAAGCCCTCCCAGTTGGTTTTTCGTGGGTTGCAAACCCAGCTAATTTGCTGTATTTGTTGGAGAGTTAGGCGTATTTGTCTGATCAGAGCCAGAGGGCTCATCCGAGACCCTCCAGTCGTTCACCAGACCCGCCACCCTCTCCGTACAGATCGTTATATCGATGACTTCCTGTCTTCTGGAGTCCAGGAATGTCGGCTCGTTTCTTCTATTGAGAATGGTTAATCCTGTGCCCATTAGGTAGCCGTGGAGACTCTCCCCCCGCAGGTTGGTGTCTGTGCTTCCCCATCCTACATGGTGGGAGTACGCATCACAACCCAGCAGGAGTTCGAGCCCCCTGGCTTCCGCATAGGCCACCAGGTTTTTTACCTCTTTATGTGGTGGTGGATCCGTGGAGTCATAGGGCATGTAGACTGACCCTATTAATACTTCCATGTCCTCTTCCTCAGCTAGCTTCACTCTCACCTTGATGACTGTGAGGTCCTTGCTGCTGAGCTGTGGCAGAAAGATAGCATTTAGTNCTTTTACTAAGATGCATGATCTAACTCTGTTATCTGAGTGTGCTTTGAATAAGTAGCCGCACCCACTCAGTCCCTTTACTGCACNTTTCACAATCCATGGTTCTTGGATTAGTGCAATACTTTTATGCATCACAGCCATGCTCTTGGTTAGGATAGCCAAAGCGCTCTTGCTGTGATGCAAGTTAATCTGGATCATTTGGATGCCGAGTGCAGCCATTTTTAGGCAGNCCCGACACCCTCCGACTCCATCTCCATCTCCGACGCCTCCCCGCGCTCTCGTCCCGCCATCTTAACGGTGGCTCGGCCGAGACCGAGGAAAGGCCTGAAGCCACAGTGCTTCAAGGCTTCCATCGCCGAATCGCCAANCAAACAGGAGAAGTGGGCGCTCGTAGCATCCCTTCTATACGTCCCTCTGGTGACGACCCAATCGCTGGTTGCCAGCCCTGTGTTTTGCTGGTTAAGGAGCTTTAAAACATCCTCAACCCCTGCTTCAGGCTCCTCCACATGCACCACCACCCAATGACGCTTAGGTAGCGCATCAACCGGCAGCACACACAGAGGAGTTCCCCTGACTTTAAAATTGGAGGAATGGGCCTTAAGCCACTCCGCCGACTCTATGTTGGCGCACACCACCATGAGTGCGCCATCCCTTTCCCAGGAACCAGTGAAAGTGGGGGCTTTGTCATTCTCAGACATGCCGAGGATGACAGACCTGACCATTTTTCTGATCTCAGCCACTTCACCGGNTCCTATTTTCTTGTCAGGGTAGCCCTCCAATACGAGGGCCATCCTGACAAGACCTTTTGTCGCCTGTGCATACGACCCTTCATTTTTGGGTCTCTTGCCCTGGCGATTTTCTGAGGGGCTGGGAGTAGTGTGCTCCGGCCTGGCGCGCTTTACCGCGCCACCCGAAGCACCCCCANCCCCATCTCCACCTTTTGACCAAGAGACCGCGGGGGTAGAGGGAATCTTATTGGCCCCACTCCTCCCGGCTAGCTTCTCTTTATTATAACGGCGCCTAGCAGCCCCGCTATATCTTCTGCGGTATTTTGGGGCTTCTGAGCCCACTCCCGCACTGCAAGATTCCCCTGGGCGTTTGCCTCTAGAGGAGGCTTCGCTCTTAGGGACTGGTTTGGAGGTGATTTTATTTTCATTTTCGCTCATTTTTTTTGTTTCCACGAGTATCGCGGTTGCGCGGTCTCACCCAGCCAGAGCCGCAAATGGCTGGAGCTTGGCTCCGTACTCCTGGATTTCGCCCGGTATCCAGGAGGCACCGTTTACGACGCAACTCCCCTTGCGCCACGCAGCTCTCGGCACGGTCGCTCACACCTTAACTTGGGGGGTTCCTCTTAGTTGGCCAC